CCTCGGGTAAGGCGGCCGTACATCGGCTAGATTTTTCTTGGCAGACAATACTTTTGAAAGGCACCTCCGTATGCCATTGGCCGTGGCTCAGTCACCCTCTTCAATGCACGCCACTACAATTACCAACACCGTCCATTGCAACTTAACCATACAGACAGAGCAAAAATCTTTTACACTTGAACTTGTCTCCTTTTCTGCTTTGCTGTTACTCCTTCGCGCCTGACATTTTGCTCTCTGTGCGCCATGTCGGTGACATCTCGACGTTTGATGACAGACGTTAGCTCTAGCACTATCAAAGCCTACACTGCCTGCAGTCGCTGTACACAGTAACCAGGTTTAATCCATGTCTGCCCCTGCAGAAAAAAAAGTACCCGTTTACACCCCTGGTCCCCGCACTCAATCAATCTCGCCTAAGCGTGCACCCTCCCAACTTACTACTTACCTTACTATCCACCCCGCCTCCGACCCAGACCCATGTCCAAACCCTCCAGCTTGTTCACCTCCTATACCGACGCCGCCAGCACCTACTGGCCACCCGGCTGGAACTTCCAGCGCTATGCCCACGCTACGCCCGAGGACAACGCTGCACTGTCGGACGAGGAGCGCGCCAAGATGCAGGCCGGCTTCCGCGAAGCGCTCGGCGAGGATGGCGTTATAGATATGGCCCGTGTCGTGTGGCAGGAGCAGCTGCGCTGCGTAAAGCTCGAGAAAGAGGCTTCTGCCGCCACTCGCGTCATCATCGTCGTCTGCGCAGCAGCAGCAGCAGCAGCAGCAACGGCCTCCGCCACCTCCCCCCAACTGGCTGAAGACTTGGCGCAAACAGGCGGGCGGCTACGGCGGCGGGGCCTGGGGCTTCATCGCCTTCTATACTTCCAGTACCGTCGCCGCCATGTCTGAGTCGGATGTGGCCAAATTCCACACACGCTCACGAGAGATGGCGGAGATCCCGATCCAGAAGGTGTTGGAGGAGGAAGGGCATCCAGCCGGGGACATCGCCGAGGCGCGACGCTCGTTCGAGATCCGCTGGGTCGAGGTGGACGACAACGACGACGACGACGACGACGACGAAGAAGAAGAAGAAGAAGAAGAAGCCAAAGGTGAGAAAGGAAAAAGGGAGGCGGGGGTGGGAGGAGACTGGGTTGAGAAGGCGCGCGCCAGTTATCGCGCTATGCGCGAGTCTGGCGTCCTCCCGTCAGGTCTCGCTCTGCCCGTCTTCCTCTGCGCATCACCCGCCGCCGTGGTCTCGGTGCTGCGGACGTCGCCGGTGGAAGTGAAGGAGGCGCACGAGGTGAAGTCGCGTTGGCGATCCGGTGATGTCCCGTTCCTGCTGGTCGCGGCCGCGGAGACGGAGCAGGGGATCGTCGTCGACGACGACGACGACGAAGAAGAAGAAGAAACCAAGGTTGGTGGTGGGGAAAGGAGCTGGTTCAAGCCTGTGTTCAAAGCGGCCGCCGAGGTGTTGGTGGACGAGCTCTGGTGGGTCGTCGCTGAGCAGATCATGTCGCTAGGCCAGATGACGAGGTTCGTTCGGGGCGCGACGGTGGCTGAGGAGCATGTCACGACGACGGAAGAAGAGAGGCAGGGGAGGGGAGTAGAGGCGGCTGATGTTGGTAGTAGACGGGCCGAGGAGCCGGGCCGTGACGACGACGGGCTGGATGACATATGGTGGACCGTTCATATGCCGCCGCGTCAAATGAGGAAGAGGCGGAGGGTGTGAGCGAGATCTGGATAGTGAGCCCGAAGAGCTACTTACCTGACCTACGGCCATCAGCCGATGCGCAGGCATTTCAAATGTGCATGCCAACTACTTGCAACTGCAGCTATCCGCTAGCATAGACAAATTGTTCAGATTTTCTAAGCTAAATCCACCAGTGTGATGGACAACGCTGATAACGACAAAAGAGAAAGTTCATCGTGAACTCTGCTTGGCTGATGCTCGTTCTTCGTAGGTTTTTACTCCTTTCCTGACTGGTTTCCAAATTCCAGCAGTACTTGGGCCAGCCATCGAGTTCAACGGAATCGTTGTGCCCGCTGTCACAGTGGAGGTCGACCTTACCAGGCCACCGACCAAGAAGGCTACCATATCGCCTTTGAAGATAAACAATCTCACATCATTTATGGTATGGGATGACTTCATGAATAGAGCTTACAAAAACTGCAATGCCGCAACCTGGGCGAATACCCGGCGGATCCTGACATTGTAGCTCGTCACCGACGAAGTTTATCCTTCCATGAGCAGGTTATAGAATTTTATAAGACACAGAACCCGAGGTTCGTTAGGGGCGACAGCAGAACTTACGGGCAGGACGACGGCGCAAACATCCAAAGAAGCTTCGACTATTTGGTGCAGACGGGCGGCCCAGATGGAAAGCGGGCACTAGCTTTCGCGCGTGCCGATGATCGACAATGGCAATCTCTACTTTATCAAAACTGAAAATACGAGCTCGGGCTATATTGAAGTGTGGTGGGCCACACAGCAAAGCAAATTCACCAAAACCGAATCATACATGACCGGAAAAGTGAAGAATAATATTTGCGTTGGAACCTACGCCATCAATTGTGGAAATCTGTTCGCCATCTCGGACACTCTCCAGAACAACTCCGACTTCATGCAGCTTAAGTGCCTAAAAGACATAGCCAACTACAGTGCCAAGTCTCTCAAAACTTACGAGACCGCTTTTGTCGTCAACGATATCAAAGGTAAAGGATATTATTGCATGGATTTGGTGAACAACCTCTATCTCTTCAAAAACAGTGGCACAGCGTCGGGTCTAGTCGAAATGCACATTGCCACTGCTGATAGCAACTATCAGTCGATCGACCATTTCTCGACGGGTTTTGTGGCCAACAGTACCAATCTGTAGGTTATTTAGATTCGAGAAGACTAGCTCAGTTAAACATAGATGTGGTCTAGTGTGTTTGTTCTGGAAAGCTCAATTCCGATTGTAGATTCGTCTTGATTACATAGTTGAAGTGTATTGGCGCAATTGGTCTTCTGAGAGTCCTGCCTTTATTACATCGGAGTTAGAAGTGATTGGTACGTGGTATTGGTACGGGCTCAGATCAAAGTCAGATGTCTGGGATGAAAGCAAACATACAATTCGTGCGCCCATCAAGATTACACAAACTACTTTGTAGCTACAAGAAAAGTAGTGTTTACTTGCTCTCCACATTTTGTAATCCCGCTTCTGTAATTCCCATGATAAATTCGGACTCAAACAGGAAAGCCAGCACCGGTTCTGTTGCAATCTTCTTTGGCTCAAAGTGTTTCTTCCTCTCTTCCTCGTGCTCCTTTTTAGTAGAGCCGTGTGGCGTCATTGGTCCAGTCATCATTGCCCCAAACGGCTTGAATATAACATCTGCACTTGGATCTGCCTCCTTCATAATCATACCAACAAACTCGCTCATGGTGTTGAGATGGAACGGTGGCAGCCAATAGGTGTCTTCCATTACCTGCCAACGTGGAGGGAAGACAGCAAAGTCGATCAAGGCAGTTCCTGGTTCACGGTATGAGGGTGCGGTAAGAACTGTAAAGATTGATGGATCGGGGTGATCGTAAAGAAGGCTTCCAATAACGTTGAAGCGCCCCAGATCGTACTTGTATGGATAGTATGTGCCATGCCATGCTGCAACGTCGAATGGCGTTTGGTCCCTGGTACAGGAAAATAGTCTACCGTTGAACTTGTTAATCAAGGTCCAATCGGCAGTCTCACAGGTAGCTACACCATCACTGACTGTGCCGTCGAAGAAAGCCGTCGGGACTTGAAAATCGCGTGGATTGGCAAGTGCAGATGTACCCAGTGGACCAAGTTCAGGCAGCTGATAATGACCATGGAATAGTTCACAAATGTAACCACGAGCAGGTCTGGTTACCAGATTGACTCGATATTTGATCCTCCGAGGAATTACCGCGATCTCGCATGGTCTGCTTATGGTTAGTATGATGAATCATCTCAAGATTAAGGCTCCAAGAAGTATTACAATATACCTTAGCAGAATGTGGCCGAGTTCAGTTTGAATATCCAACACGCCTGACTGTGGCACAATAAGATAGTCACCATCAGATGAGAAGAAGGCGGAATTTGGAGGCATATCTTCTGTAGCCGCATATACAGAGTATGCTAAACCTGTTTTAGTACTAATCTCTCCTGACTGACAAACAACCTTCTGGGAAGTGACCCAGTCATGGCCTGGCTCCATTCCGAAATCTTTCCATGTGAGACGATTTGGGTCATAGGTCAAGGGTATCTCGTTCTCAGTTGCAGAGGTGAGTTGACTCGGATATGGAACATACTTTCCACGGTTGAGTGAGGCTGATACTCGGTACAACCAAGTTTGGCTGCTAATAGCCCGAGGACTAGCAAAGGCGGTTCCTGACAGACACTCGGTGAGCAACTTATATGGCCCAACTTGGGGGCTGTTCTGCGCAATCGGGTTTGCACCAGGTAAGGCTTCAGATCTGTTTTCCAGTTACTCACTTTTGACCAGTAGAAAGTATTTAATATACTTACTGATGGTAGTCGCGGAGCCTATCCAAGTACTTGTACTTCTCCTGCGTGGTGAAAGCTGTGATAGGCATGATGTTGGTGTTTCCTTGCTCCGAGAAGATCAGTATACCCTGTTCATCCAGTCACCCCAGCGTCGGTGAATGCCCCAAATACTTACTCTTACACAAGACTTGGTGAAACTTGGTGAATGGTGGACGGACTGTGAGCTCATAAGTAGGAAGATGTAATTTTTATATATACTAACAATTTGTTCTCGATCTCACGCTGACAAAAAAGAATTCGAATTTGATTCTAGCTTAAGCACTATCGTTAATGTCTCCAGTTCAGTTCGGACTTCGCTCTCAGCTCAGACCGACGGGAGTAGCGCGGACAGTCCGAATAAGATTCAATTTCGACATATTAGCAACCAAGGGATCATTTCCACGACTTTTGCTTGGCATCTTGGCCTACGATGGCTTAGCAAAACAGAGTGAGTTCAGCAGGCGTACTAAGTGTATACGTATCTCTAGTTAGTAGAAGTTACACACACTTGCATGCGTAATTTTCCAATTGCGCCATTGGCACTACACGCATGACTTACCCCAGGTAGAAGCTCGGCCCTATACGATGGCCTCGCGTGAATATAGAGTATATGGCAGACTTGGGTTTTCTGAGTGTTACAGATCAATGGTGCAGAGGTAAAAAGGAAGTTGTAGACACGGGATTTGATGACAATGTAATAGCTGGCATTGGGGCATAGGGAATGTTCATTCAATCATCTCAGACAATTGCATGAGTAGATTAATATCTTAGTACCACTAGTTGTATTTAGTTATCGCTCTGTGTCCTCGGGCTGAATAGGGCAAAGTTTATGGGGCGGTTAAATGCAGTGATTTCGCGATTCGATCTCAGTAGGATATCATTCTCCACCTGAGCTGTAGACCAACATTAGATATTTGTGACTTTCCTCATTGTCTCAATTTTTTCACGGTCAGCAGTGCGCATTGATATCCCTTACCATTTAGCTGGCAGATAGGTACAAGTGGCTTGCTAGGAGTTGTCAGAGGCAGGTGCGGGTTAATGCGGGCTTGACTGATTTGGCGTGCTGAATACCCCTTCAGGTAGGCTCCTTGATAGTCTCTCAGTCATCTACATACTAGTAAAGAATCAGAGACTGAGTAATACCTGGAGTTCTCGGAACCTGTCAACTGCCCGGAACTCTCGGAACCTGTATACTCCCCGGAACTTTCGGAACCTGCATACTATTCGGAGCTCTCGGAACCTGGATAGTTATATCATTACTTGAATCTCAGCATGTACTTCGGGTCAGTCTGCAAATGAAAGTTTATGGATGAGGAAAGCCTTTCGGTTAGGTACATTCCACCGAGAATGGCTCACTGTAATATACAGTATATAAGAGAAGTAGAGACGACTGAAATAGGGGACCTCACGAATTGCATAATGCTTGGATCAGAAGTTGCAGTAGAATGCGAGAGAAAGGAACCCAGGCAAAGGAGTTATGATCGTGAACACATGTGAGCGGAACTCTCCAGATATGATCGATGAAGAGATGAGACAGTGCAGCATTTATGTCTGGGATGCTGTTCGCATAATCTTTCAGGATTTATTTATGGATAGAGACCTCGACACTCTTTCATATAATCAGAATAAGCGAGATGAATTCCCTCTTAAAAGCCTGAGATTCATTCTAGAAGATAAACGATGATGAAAACAGTATTTTACACAAAACTGCCCAAAAAGCAGGTATGTTGATACTCAATGACTTTGTTTTTTTATATACGGCCCTGCTCAATATCCGCTTGAGCTTGGGTATGAGTTCCCTTTCTTAGAGAGTTACCTCTCACTTCTGCAATGGCAAGTGAAGTGTGAACGGCCCGAGTGTTACGTAGATGTCATGTTGCGCAGATGTCATGTTACGCAGATGTCATAACCAGGAGTCTTGAATGATAGAAATACCCAATACCGTTTCTTTTAACATTAGGACCGACAGCCGCCCATGCTAAGCGCTTAGAGTTTGTTTCCGCACAAAATATTGTAAGTCGACTCGTGATGTTTGTGACTATAGCTGGTTTGAACACACAAGCGCATCTGAGCTTCAGCAATCATGCGAGCTTGTTTCGTTTCTGCTGTAATCTCCATAGTACAAAAAGGTCCTGAATAAGCTTTGGACAAACATAATTCTTGTATAAATCAGATAGTTATGCATCAGCTGTACTAAGTTTCACATCTCACAATTCAAGTATTGAGCTCTCTTTATAATCGTCTTTCCGCATCAATGAAGAGTTTTTTCTCTACCAGCCTGTTGCTACAAGGGGTTGTAGGGCTTCGGACGATTAAAAATGATGTTATTGTAGTTGGTGGCGGTTCTAGTGGCATTTATACTATAATTGCACTGTTGGGCAAGGGAAAAGATGTATGTAGTAATTATCGAAAAGTCAAGCGCCCTCGGAAGTCATGCCAACACATATTACTATCCAATCTTCAAAACGCCTTGGGGTGTGGGAGTTTAGTCTTTGCCCAATATCTCAGTTGCCAACAGATATTTGACAAAAGTGAATGTTGCCGCCAGTCCGTATGTCCCGTACAACGCCACGACAAATCTGGATGTGGATTAAATGACGAGCCTGAAAATCAACAATTACATAGCGCCATCCGGCGCTGAAGCGAGTTAGAACACATTCCGTACCTATCTCTTGTCATTGCATCAGTCGACTTCGAGAAAGAATTTACGCTTTACGTCATCAGAAATTATGGTCTCCAATCGATATATGCTTTTGTTGAACCTGGCGGTAGCTTTGCCTTTAAAAATGTCGACGACTTCTATGTTAACGTGACGAAGATCCTGGGAGATAGGGTGTTGCTCAGCTCAACCGTCCAAAGTATAAAACGGAGCGAGAGCAGCGCTATTTTCATCATTAAGATGCCTAACTGGAGAATATGTTATAAGGCAGACAAGATCGTTATGGCCGTGCCTCCACTGATCCAGAGTTTTGCTAGAGAGGATTTATCCTCGAACGAGGTCCATCTCTGTAGCAAATTTTAGGGCAAGAACACTCACATTGCTATTACCCGGAATCTAAAATACAATAACACCTCTATTGCCGGCGTCAGACCCAGCTCCTCACATGGCATCGCCAGGCTTCCTGGAATAATTAATACCTCTCCCACTGGCTTCAGCGACTCGTCGTACTTCTCCTACGTCTAATTTATAGGTGAAGCTTCTGTTCAGTATGTGCAGAGCCTGTTCAAGTCGCAGATTCAAAAGTTGATCGCAAATGAAGTACTGCCAGCGAGCAGGAACAAAACCGTCGAATGGCTCAATCACGATCAATACATTAACTTCGTTTCTAACGAGGATCTACAATCGGAGTTCTATAACAAGCTGAATGACCTGCAAGGCACTTCTAGCACGTACTACGTGGGTGCTATTTGGGCAGGACAGAATTCTGCTTATATCTGAGGAGTTTGTAAGAGACTACACAAGATCTTAGCATAGAGATTACATAGATTATTTTCTTTTGCGAAAAGAGACAGCGGGAAGTGAGTTAGCGCAAAGATACTACTCTCTTATATTTGAGTTTAGAGGAGAGTAACCAATTTTATTCTAAGCGTAGAACATTCTGGAGCACTGTACAGTTGAAAGTTGATCAGCTCAGCGCATGCCTGCTGCAACTACACCATTACATGGTTTGAACTACAGACCTACATAAGCCAGAAATTTCGTTTTGGTCTTTGTCGAACAATCTCACCGTCCATAATCCCATCGCAGCAGCACTCCCCAATGAACTGAAAACTCCCATCGCCACGACCACGAACGACGTAAGGCAGCCTCGCCCCCAATAAGAACAACAATGATATCCCCAGGGCACATTCCCACTGGACCCATGCCAACATAGCCTATAGTGGGCATGAAGGGTTTCTTTTGTACTGAATCCCGCGCATCCTCAATCGATATCCACCTCCTTTGTAGCGGTTGCTGTCGAATTCTCCCTCTCTTTCCTCCAATTCGCCAGGCGAAGTCGGCGTTATTACTTCTTTACGATACTCTAGAAGAACTATGCATGCTCGGCGCGCGTCCGCTCATTTGGATATTGCCTAGTGTGGCTGCTCCGTTCTGGCTTCCTTGATATCCCCAATTGAAATGAGCTAATAGCGTTCGTGTCGTCACGGTATTCAAGCATATATAGAATCACCTTTCTGTGCTGATATACACATTAAGCGAACCTGGGCAAGCATGTTGAGATATCCGTAATGATGTGTGATCAGTTCCACTTCTTTCTTGCTGATCTAGTTGCCTTGCTCCACAATCGCTTTGCTTTCATTTACATGTTTTTTAAATTTTCTTTGCAGCATCCTTCTCAGTTGCACTTGCATTCTGTGGAGGCGCATCGCCATCTCATAACCTACACAACTCTTGTATTTGATCAACCCCAAACCCTCTCAGGCCTGGAACACGCTGGTCTTCAACTAAGCGCTGGAACCTCTACAAACTGCCTTCTCTTAGACCTACCCCGGTTCCAAGAAAGCTCAGCTCTCAGATTGCAGATTGAACAGTCACGGCCAGTCTTCCAACAGTTCAGGTGGAAACTGGAACTCGCCAAGCCACTCGTTAAAGAACTGTCCTGCTTCTGCCTCTGCACTTGCATCTCCTATCTCTACTGGTAACACGCTGCCTGGGTCTTTGATAGTTCCCACAATTTACATGTCAGCGTCATCGTTGGAAGCCAAGTGTTGTCACTGCTGAATTTGTATCTCAGTAGTGTGGACGGATGAACCACCATTTGGCTGCAATTGTGCGTACGGCCTTTCTACAGGCCGACGCTGAGCACGCATATACTCATCCATCCACTCCGCCTTCGCGCGGAAACCTTTACTAATATCAGTTGCTCGAGAGAAGACACTTTCGAGGCTCCCAAGCGAATCGGCCATGGAAACTAACACACCCTTAACCTTCCGATAATCTTCTTCAGGGAGTGGGCCCTCGATGATGGACCCAAGAATCACGCCAATGCCTGCGAGATGGTAGATGAGGGGCGTGCTGATACCGCACAGATAAGCTGTGGAATAGTCTGAAAGACGGCAACAAGCTCAACCAGTACTACGTATTGGCTGATGAGATGTGCAGCTGAGGCTAGTACCAGCGGCAATCAATCGAAAAGAGAATCAGTCTTCAAGACCCTCCATCAGCATCATTTATAACCGTGCAGAGACTGCACAGTGCTAGCGCCTGTCTTGTAAGTACCTTACAAAGCGACTGTGCCCTGTGAACAAACCATGTACATGAGCTGGAAACGGATTTCGGCCAGCACTGTGATGCGGACTCGTCCCCGATTTTCATCATCGACCTATGACATTAGAGTAAGGCGAAGCAAGGCGGGGCCGCAACGGTGAAGGCAGCTTGTATTTATCGTAAAATTTCAGCACTAATGGTCTTTCCAGGATTAAGGTTTGCGAATCCTTTGTCAGGTTTGTTTCTTTGTTTACGATATATATTTGTTAGTGCAGCGCGCATCTTTATGCATAGAGCGATCATAGTATACAACAACAATGTGAACATAATACATTCTTCAACCTCAGATTTCTACCTACAGATTCTAAGAAGAGAGGAAGTTGATATGCCTATAATCGAAACACCCCTCGTCGTGGGACGCGCGCTAAGCGCGCTGCCAAACACCTAACACTTTTTGGTTTTTCCCGCTATTTCTTTAGGAGATCTCCTTAGTGATCGTTTTCATGGTACCATTGCTGAAAACTTGCGTGTTGACGAAGTCTATAGTCGCATCTTGATTCAGCAGGAGGAGCCTTCCGCCATTCTCGTCCTCAAACTCGCGGAACTTCTTGCCTGAGATGCGGGGCACAGCATCCATAAAACCCATGTCTGTATAAGTTCAAACTTTCAGTCAGCCACTAGAAATATACGAAAAATGGTAAAAGAAGACGGAAACATCGAGATACTCACTGCGGCGGAGCTTGGCGTTCTGGAAAGCGCCATTCACAAGGCGGAACTCGCTGCCGTCGTTGTTGGCAGTGGGTGTGTCGCAGAAGGTGCTGGCCGAAGAGAGTCAGCGGATAATGTCATGATTTCTGGTTGAGGGAGGAAAAGAAAGAATGGAGAGAAGAGGAGAGAAGCAACTCACGCGCCGCCGTAGTTTACGACAAAAATATCAAACTGGTCACCATCGTTGATCTTTTTGTAAAAGTTCCCGAGCTGTCCTCCTTCGCCTGTAATTTCACGAGAAATGTTAACTTAGTCTCTTATCAAAACACCCGTGAAGAGTCCTCAAGTACCCTGACTTACTGTCATTGTCTGTGTCAACAACACAGCGCAGGATCGCGCCCGCACCGCCCTCGTGCGTACTGGCAAACGGGTATTCGTCACACGAGTTGCCCCATTGGTTGTAGTTCGTGTTGGTGCACGGCGTACGGTTGCAGCCAGAGGCCGTGCGGCGCGGGCCGCGGTTGGCTTTGTTGGCGTCGTAGGTTAGCGTTCCACTGGCGAGCCCATGGTTCACAGCATAGCAAGCGTTGTTGCAGGTGCCTAGCGAATTCGTACAGTCCCATTCGAAGGAGGCAGCGTCAATGATACCAGCGCCGTAAAAGACAAGGGAGATAGCGTAGAGAACGTGGATGTGCATTTTGACAAAGTGGTTTTCGGGAGAAAGTTTTGAAAAGAAGATCAGTGCAGAGACAAATTGAGCAAGAGAAGAAAGTAGTTCCTCCAAGCAGCTGTTTGAAGATGCTTGTACTTCTGTGATATTTTTCAATCTTCTGAGGACAAGCAGACTAAAATACCTTTGTCTTCGGTACAACGGCACGTCCTTCGACATCAGGCTTCATAATTCAAACAAACAGACAGGTTGTAGCCGCATTACTCGAACTACAGCACTGTAGGCCTAAAGAACTTCCTGAACAGGCTACGATCAGACCGGTGAGTACTTCTTGGACACCACCGGAGCTTCCGTCGGGACGCCTAATGGACGAGACTGAAGGCTGAAGGCACACAGAGCTCACAGATTGAACTAAAATGGAAGACCTAAGTGACATCATCGAGAGCATATTCGGCTTCCTTCAGTCATACGTAAGACATTTGTGGGTTTCTGTAGCATAAAAAATGATTAAAAGTCCCACCATTGCTTAAAGGAGGATTTCCGACCCCAAATGTTCATCAGGCGCCCCTGTGTACCCATCACCAAACGTCATCGCACAGTTTTAATCCCCGATTCTCATTGTCCAGACGTGCTATATTTAACCAACATCACGATGATGTGCTGTTGACTACACCTTACTATTGTATGTACATACATGTGGATAGTTGAGGTTTGGGTAGTGTGATTGGCACTCTGAATGGATCTGAGGAATTCTCAAGCACAAACTCCAAATTTTGTTCGTTCATCTTATGGTTTAAAGTTGTTAGCTGCTACCTTCAGTGTAGCGATAAGATATTGGGGACAAATAAACAGCGTGCTAAATTCGGCGCCGGAGGAGACAAACATCCGCCCCATGCTCAGAACGCACCTGAACTGGAAGGACGATTCCACTCTTCCAAAATAGATACATAGTGCCTCAATAGTACTTGTTCTGCGAGCCAAGAAACTACTCGGATTGATGTTCCGTTCATCTGCAGAAAGGTTGCTAACAATCACGTTGATCAGCAGATTGATTGGCGGACGTGCCTCAAAGTTTCCTCTGGGACTCCGCATGACCCTACAGCCGGTACGTCCGCGAGTCAATCCGTCGATCAATTTAATCGTCAGCAACTTTCATCTGCAGTGCCGATCGTCATGATAGAGCAGTATTAGTGATTTGAAATATTATGCTTCCATTCATGTTCACGTTATGATAAAAACGGTATTTTTAGAGTAGATGTGCTGTTCAAGTCCAGTTCACTATGTGTTGCCCTGGTAGTTTATCCGAACAGTAAAATGGAAAGCAGCAGAGCAAGTAGGATATAGAAAACCAAATAAATTTCCAATACAATCCTCGTCATACTATCTACGTCACGATGTGCATCCTTGTGATTCAGGCACCCAGCTTCTTTCGAGGAGCCGGACCGCCCTTCTGTGGGCGCTGCGTAGAAACTGACGACCCATAGACCCCACCATTACCCTGGGTATCGGCGATGCTTTGAATCTCGGCAAACCCGATGGAACCTATATCGAGCGAGATGAGCGTCCTCTGGACTGCTGAGAAAGCGACACGAACTGTGTCCACGCTGCCATTCGGGTCGCGAGCCGCTAGCAGCGCTGTGCTGTCACGAGCGGAGTGCTCGTCCAGGACAGCGAAGAAGCTAGCATTTTGAAGCACAGGGTGTCGAGCAGCATCTTCAACAGACTGACCAAGGAACGGTGAGGTGAATGACTGTACGGGTGGTTGTGATGCGCTCGAGGTAAGAGCGTCGCTGCCTTTATCGCTGGTATTGCTGGTGGTAAGGATCACGAGGCTCGGAGAGGTGCCTGGGACCAGCTGCTCGCTGCCAGTGTACGCATCCTTGAGAAACTTTTCCACAACCTTTTGTTTAATTTGTATGAGTCACTTGGCCTTTGCTTTGGGAAAAGGTTGACCTGGTCGGGAAAGACGCTACTTACAGGAGTGGGGATGTCTACAGTGCAGATGACGGGGAAGAACTCTGGTTCAGGCATGTTGGGCAATGCAGTAGATTGTGGTGTGTGACATGTACTTCTCTTCGCGCTGGATCTTCTCTGCGGCTATATATATACATATAAATATCGCAAGTAGCGCAGCTGAGTCCAGTCGACGTGGTTGTCTACGTCTTTGGCCCCCATGAAACAAATGTGGGGGCTAATGACGTAACGAAGACTATACATGGATAGATCGGCAACGCAAAGAGCAGGCAACACAATAATATAGCTAGTATGTAGAGTTCCACGTTGGCATCCTAATCTGTTCCCATAGCATAAATGGACCAACTAGAAACTCCTTCATAATTAACATCAGGAAGCCATATGAATAACACACCTTTACCCCTTAAAAGAGGTGTCGCGATAAGTTTCCCATTCGATGTTGCCGGAAAGCATGTACAATGCTCACCCTTTTTGCTTTTTAATTTCTGATTGCAAACTATATCAGTTCCTTGATAAAAGCCAGTGATCCCATTAAGTTGCTCTTGGGTTTCTTTTTGGAACGTTAGAGACGATTAGAGAGTACAATATATAGTCAGTGTTACAAGTAACAAGAAGGATTCTCTCCTTGACAAATGGCGAGACGGCTGAAAGCCTAGGGACGTCCACGTCANTAAGATTAATACTTATTAGTCTATTTAATATAGATTAGGAATTATTAACCTATTAACACTATCTTACTCGCCCTAACCTAGATTAAGCTTAGAGAAGTATCAGCACCTAACCCCGTGTAACAGTCAGGGACTACTTAAAAATAACTGAAGTGCTTACTGACGCACCTCTGTGGTCAACATACATTGGGATATTCTCGATGTGTACTCCGCGTCCTGTGTGCTCGAGCCTATGCCCGTATTGGCTCTATTTAGGCATGTATCTTGCCATGCTCGCTGGTTAAGGTCGCTTTGACACGATCGAGACACCCAGTCATAAGTTGCAGGGCATTGAGTTACTGCTGGAACTCGTTTTTATAGCGTAGATAGAGCACGCTTCTCCCTCCGCTACTTGTTAAATGCATCCGCTGCTATTACAACCTAATGATAAGAGAGGATCTGCTCGATATAGTGTTTGGTGATGAGATCTAGTAAGGAGCTTGCGCCAATATCTGGAATAGGGGCCGCTAGGGCTGGAATTACTGAAAGAAAGCTAAGAATAGCCCTGGTGCCAAACTGGATATGAACCATAGTAAATGATTTATCAAAGATAGCTAAGAGAGTGGAAATACTTTTGGTCTGCTCTAAATGAAAATAAGTATTCAAGAACCTTAGCCGGACAAAAAGGTGTTTTTTACAGAATTTATTATGTAGTTATATGGTACGTAGGGGTTTTAGATTATGTTCAGGTAACTCTGATAATCAACAAACATGATTATGCTTTGACTTTGTTACTTGCAAAGGTTGAAGGTTGGATGTAAGCATATATAGGCTAGCAGATATGTTAAGGCAGAGTTTGGGATGCTAAAAATTGCTAGAACTGGAGCTAGAGATGGGTGTAGAGTGAAGGGTTGAGCTAATTAAAGGCTTTTATCGGTTGAATTGTTTCTTTCTGTTTAACATATAGAGGATTGGATTATTATATGACTTACGTGTATCTCTTCGTACGGGACATCCTAATGTAGGCGAACTACCTAATTATTTGGCGAGGGTCGCACATTCTAGATAAGCTGATTAGCCAGTTCCGGCACACCAGCATGTCCCGCACGAAGAGACGCACGTTAGTCCTGTTTGGAAAATTTTATTTCCCTTGAGAGCCAACTGGTTGTTCGGCAAAAGCCTTTGCATGATGGGCAAGTAAATACTCGTATTCTATTCTAGTTAGGTCTGACGCAGTCTGACGCTTCACCGCTCTTATCTCTATTCCTTACCTAAAGACGGGCCATGTTCTGTATCTTCTACAAAACCGGATTAGTAGCGGAAACATTAGAACAGGTCAGGATACAATGGTTATCAATAAGAGTAGCTATCTCCCACACTAATACAAGCATCACAATCGTTCTATACTACTAAACCTACTAGGTAACGCCTATATCACCAGCAAAAAAACAAACATTTATTACTAAAATGAACCTATCTATCCTTTACACTAAGGACCCAGTTCGTATTGTACCAGAATTGTGAGTTGATCGCTCTTTGTTATCCTGTCCCAATGCGACGGCCCTCAATATTACGCAAACACTCGACGGAAACGGAAACAATTTACAGAAATACCTGTAGAAGATGGACCTATCTGTAGCGTCCAGATAGTAGCAACTTTGCCATCTATTAGTTTAAATTCTACTGTGTGCTTGCCAATGCCCTGCATCATATCTGCAATTGTATTATGCCCACCTATTCTACATTATATTGGACACATGGTGTCTCGGTGAAGTGGGCAATCACCTAGCAGTCTGTCTCAGACAGTTGGTTCGAATCTAGTAGCCATTAATACACTTAGTATAGCCC